TCCTTTACTAGTTTTTTCCGCTATTTCTCTAATAATATCAGTAATTTGATTACGAGAACTTCTTATCTCTATATGCGGATCTAAAAGCCCAGTTGGACGAATAATTTGCTCAATGGGTTGGTAATTAACTTTGTTTAACTCAAAATTTCCAGGAGTTGCTGAAACATAAAGAGTGAAATTAAGTTTTTGAAAAAACTCATCTTGATTTAAGGGTCTATTGTCAAGAGCCGAAGGTAAACGAAAACCATATTTTACTAAAGTTTCTTTGCGACGACGATCAGTATTATACATAGCTTTTACTTGAGGAATAGTAATATGCGATTCGTCAATGATCGTTAAAAAACCTTTTGGGAAATAATCTATTAAAACAAAAGGAGTTTCGCCAGTTTCTCGACCATCAAAATAACGAGAATAGTTTTCTATTCCTGGACAGACACCAGTTTCTCGCAAATTAAATAAGTCTTCTTGCACTCTTTTTTCTAGCCTTTCAGCTTCCAAAAATTTTTTCTCTTGATATAATTTTTCCTTTTGCTCTATTAATTCTTGGTCAATTTTAGTTAGCGTTTCGGTTAATTCTTCCCCCTCTTCACCAACATAATCTCGACCGGGCGGAATCGCGATTTTTTCTAATTCTCTTACTTTTTCTCCGGTTTGCTTATTTCTTTTTTCTATTTGTTGAATTTTATTATTGGAGAAATTTATTTGTAGATAGTAATTTTCTTCCCAACTAACCATAAAAAAGACACTTTTTTCGGTTACTTGAAAACTCCCTGGTTCGATTTTTTTTTCTTCTTTGTATCCTAAGTGAATTAGTTTTTTTTTTATTAATTTCTTACTAATTTCTTGTCTTTTTTCGAGATGAACCACTACTTTTCGATAAGAAGTTGGGTTAAAGCAACCATAAATAGAAGCTACAGAAGCAACTACAATTACTGAATCATCAGTTACCAAAGAGTTTAAAGTTTTTAAGCGCATCTTGGCAATGCTACTATTCCTTTGTGTTTTTTTTCCTATATAAGTATCACTGGCTGGCTTATAAGCTTCTGGTTGGTAATAATCAAAGTAAGAAACGTAATATTCAACGAGATTATGGGGGAAAAAACCTAGCATTTCTTGATAAATTTGCATCGCCAAAGTCTTGTTATGAACTAGAATTAGAGTAGGTTTTTGGGTTTTTTGAATGACATTAGCCATAGTGAAAGTTTTTCCTGTGCCAGTTGCACCTAATAAAACTTGCTCTTTCTTACCTTCTTGAATACCTTTAACTATTTTACTAATAGCCTCCGGTTGGTCACCTTGAGGTTGAAAATTGGTTATAAGTCTGAACATTAGTATAAACCATTTTAGCGATTAAATTAGTAATTAAAATTATATATTATGAAAGTTAGTAATAAAAGTCTTAATCACACGTTTCCTTCTGCTTTATCAATTAAAGTTTTCAAAAACAAAGGTGCTTCTCCTACAATAAAAACGTGTTTCAAAATAAAACTATTTTATCAAATCCTCTTTTGCAACACGCTAAATCAGATTTATTTGGTGTCTCAACTTCTTACCTAAATTCAAGAATTTAACATTTCAAAGCAACCAAAAAGAAAACACAGAAATTATATTTTATTATATTTTAACGTTTTAAATAAGCATTATTAAAAATTACAGAATAAAAACAAGGATAGAGTTTAAGTAATAAGAAAAACATAAACCAGTAAAAGTCTAATAGTTAGCAGAAAAAGTAAATCAAAAGTAATTTTCTAAAGAGCGGTAAAGAATTAAAAATAAAGAAATAATAACAATAATATATAATGAGAATTTTACAATATTGCTACCAAAAAGAGAGAGAAAGACAAAAAAATACTTTGAACTTAATTGCTAGTGAAAATTATCCCTCCAAAAAAGTTTGTTTCTATGCTGGATCTTTGTTAATGTCTAAATACAGCGAAGGTTATCCTAATAAACGTTACTATCAAGGTTGTCAATATATTGATAAAATTGAGAACTTAGCAATTGATTTAGTCAAGAAATTATTTAAAGTTGAATACGCCAATGTTCAACCTCATTCTGGTTCACAAGCTAATCAAGCAGTTTATTTGGCTTTATTAAAACCTAATGATAAAATATTGAGTTTAGACTTGTTGGCTGGCGGACATTTAAGTCACGGATCCAAAGTTAATTTTTCTGGAACACTTTACCAAGTTTACCATTACAATTTAGATCCAATAACACAGAGGTTAGATTATGAAATAATAAGAAAGATAGCCGAAGAAGTTAAACCACAACTAATTATTGCTGGTTATAGTAGTTATAGTTTAAAAATTGACTTTGCTAAGTTTCGAGAAATCGCTGATGAAGTAAATGCTTATTTATTGGCTGATATTGCCCATGTAGCCGGATTAGTGGCTACTGATTTATTTCCTAATCCTGTTCCTTATGCTGATGTCATTACTTTTACTACTCACAAAACTTTAAGAGGGCCAAGAGGAGGAGTAATTTTAGCCAAAGAAGTATGAGGAGAAAAAATAGACAGAGCAGTCTTTCCGGGTTTGCAAGGAGGAGCTAGTCAAGCGATTATTGCTGCCAAAGCTCAATGTTTTTATGAGTCTTTACAACCATCTTTTAAAGATTATCAACAAAAAGTCTTAGAGAACGCCAAAGCTATGGCGGACTATTTTTTAGAAAAAGGAATAAAAGTTATCAGTGGTGGAACTGAAACACATTTGTTAGTTATTGATACCAAAAATAGTTATAATTTAACTGGCAAAGGAGCCGCCGAAATCTTGGAAGAAATTGGAATTATTTGTAATAAGCAAATGATACCATACGACAATGAAAAACCCTCCATTACAAGTGGTATTCGCTTGGGTTCGCCCGCTTTAACTACTCGAGGATTAGGAAAAGAAGAATTTAGAGAGATTTCTAAAAATATCGATTACATTCTTAAAAATCCTCATGATAAAAAGAAATGTTAACTCCTCAATAAGCAACCTTCTTTTTTTAATTAACCTTCTTCTTTTCCCTTTGTCTTTTTTGGGTTTTAAATAAAGCACCAGTATTTCGGGAGATATGATTAATGTATTGAATATCTTCATAAACAATCAATTGTGGTTGATAACTATTCACTAACTCATTAAGATAAACAAAGTGATCTTCTAAGCTTTTACTTTTAAACTCTTTAAACTCTAACTTGGCTTTTAGTTCATCAATCAAAAAGTATCCCGTGGTTCCATCAGCCGAAGGATCAATGGCTAATATTTTATTCATTATTTTTCAAATTTTTTTTTCGCGTGTATACGCCATGGTAAGGTTTGTGGTCGGCTGAGATGGGGGAAGGAGGTAACGACTAAGCATAGCGAAGCCTTTTTTATTAAAAAAGTGCTTCAGCTAGTTGACTAAGTCAGTTCACCTCTCCCCATCATCTAGCCGGGCTCTCCCGTCCAGTTCACTTTAGTGAACTGTCTTTTGTTCACCATCATTATCAACTTTAATTTCAGGTTCATTTTCAACTACATGAAAATCCAAAATTTCCTTATTGGCAAAGTAAAGTCGGTATTTAAAAAGCAATTTTTGCCCTAAAATAGCGAATTTAGTTATTTTTTCTCAATTTTCAACTGACATATTATTAACCAAAGCATTTAAAGTCACTCCCTGAGGATCACTTAATTTCAAAGTGTAATAAGTTTGTCCCATACGCTTACCTTCTTTGAATTTTCTTTCCACAATATCGTTAACTGCCGAAACCATCCCAATCAAATTGTAAACCGAACTGTTAATCTCGTTTTCCGAATAATAAGAATAGATGCGTTTTCTTAACTCTTTGTAAAGATTAGTCTGCATGTCATCCAAAGGTTGTCCTCATTGAGTTTGTAAAAAATCATCAAGGCTTTTTTTGCTGGTAAAATCAACTTTTTTTAATTCTGCTCAGAAATTAGCTGATTCAATAACCAAATTATCAGTGCTTCTGGTAAAAGTTTTCTCGCACTTATTAATTGAATTTCTGCTTTTTCGATAAAAGTTTTTAGCTTTCTTATTCATGAGATTTTTCTTGGGGTTTTGAGTAACGGAACTTGTAATTTTTAAAAGTTTCTTTTTTCTCAGCATCAATTGCTAATTCTCTAGTTTCAAACAAGCAACTAGAGCAAATTAACTTTTCTGCTTGAGAAAGATCTTCATTTCAAAATTTAGCTTTATTACGATTACAAAGATGAAAGTTCTTGTTAACTTTTATTTTCTTTTGTGCACAAAAGTCACAATCGATTAAATATTTGCCTTCTTCTTTAGGTAAATAAGAGCGGATTTGGTAATATCACAAAACTTGTCCGGAAAGATTTTTATTTTGGTTTTTTGATTTGGAAGAGTTTTTGGTAATCATTAATAATTTACTAAAAGAAATAAAAAAGCCTGTGAAGTAAAAATTCTTATTAAGTTCTTAGAATTCTTTAAGAACTAGTATACGCTTCGTAAGTATTTATACTTACTTCGCTATTTTAAGAATAAGTTCTTTTTACTCACAAAATAGAGTTTTTGATATATATTCAAAGAATATATATATGCTTCTTCTCAAAGCAATAATCTTACTAAAAACAAAAAAAATATCTTTTACCTATTTAAAAAATTAAGCAAAAAAAGTATTAATTTTTACTTTTTAGCCAAAAGCATTACATTGGTATGTAATTTCACCTCTCCAATTAATTCACAAAAAATTTGGTCTAAAAACTTTTTGAATCTTATTAATTGACTTTTGTCATAATGAAAGACTTTATAGGTTTATTCTCCCAAATTTTAAACCTAATTTGGTTAAGAGAACTTTTTCTCTTTTTTGTAACTTTTTCTTAACTTAGCAAGTTATTAACAAAATAGAATAGTTATGCAAAATACTTCGCCAAAGAAAAAGTTTTTCAAAAGAGTCAGAGTTGATTAATACTCTGAAATAAGATAAATTTTCTAAAAGTAAAACTGGTAAATTAAACCAATAAACCACTTTTACTTTACAAAAGTTCTCAATTTGGTAGCGGGGGAAGGATTTGAACCTCCGATCTCCGGATTATGAGCCCGACGAGTTGAACCAGGCTACTCTACCCCGCGGGCTTTTTCGGCTAATTCGAAATTAACAAAAAAACTTTTTTACAAAGTGTTAACCAACAAATTTATTATATGATATATTTTAAGCAGTTAATGCCACTTAACTGCTTGCTCGTTTAAGACCATAATTTACTGTAATCGGCATACAAAGTTTGATAATCGTTGTGAATATAAGATAAAGTTGTATCTAAACTAGAATGACCTAATTGTTTTTGAATAGTATCTAATTTAATTCCTAGGTTATAAGAATTAGTAGCAAAACTCCTTCTAAAAGTATGTGGACTAATGTTTTTTTTAATATTTGCCCTTTTTGCTTTTCTTTGCATATTTCTTCTAATTTGCCCCTTAGTCAGTTTTTTATCACTCTTTGTTAGAAAAAGATAAATTGTATAAATTTACTGTTGAAGAAGGAAATAAAAACAACAACAATATTCTTGGTGGTTTTAAATGTTTTTTTACTTGGTTTATTAGTTAATAATGAAGACTATATTAATTTTTTTTGTTTCGAGAGATTTTAATATCAAGCGTTGTTAACTATTTTTTGGAGATTGCTCTATTGTTCCCTGATATACCTCTTTATCAATTTCATTTTCTTCAATTCTTTTAACTCTTGAATTTGGTCAAAATTCAGTTCCTCTAGGAGTTGCCACTGTAAAATTAATTCCTCTAGGAGTTGGTTGTTCTTCTAACAAATCATTTAATATTTGCAGACTATCTAAAGCCATTGTTTTTTTTGGAAATTTTATAACATCCTTTGAATGATTAGAATCTTGATAATTATCATTTCTAGAATTAGAACGCGATGAAGAATTTGAACCTAATGGCACCGGACTGATTACTCTAAAAGAATTATTTGTAGATACAGAATCGCCCGAATTTTTTCTTACATACGGGGTGCGATTAATGGCATTGACATCTTGAGACATATTAGGAGCCGAACCGCTTCTTTTTCTAAAAAACAGGCTTGTTTTTTGGCCAGAATTTTTTAATTCTATATATTTTGCTTTTAATTTGTCATATTCACTAGCTAAACTATCATGAGTTTTTACTAAATCTTTGCGTTTTTTTTTGCTGATTTCTAATTCAGCTCCAGTCTCTTCTAAATTTTTTCTTAGAAATTTATTTTCTATTCTTATATCTTTAACAAAATCAGAATTCTTGCCGTTAACCAAAGCATCTTCCAATATTTTAATTGTATTTTCTAAATTTTTTATATTTTCATCTCTTTCTTCAATAAACATTTGTAAATTTCCTATCACCGAGTCTTTTTCTCTTGCTTCAACAACTATTTTATTGTGTCTTTCTTCTCTTTTTTTGTTAGTTCTTTCGGCAACGCTCCCTAAACAAGAATTAGTCATTTTTAACTCTCTATTTTCTAACTCTAAGGCTTTTATTTCAGTAAGATTTTTTTCTTCCGCTTCGATATTTAAAGTTATTTTTTTATTAAGTGCTTCGATTAACCTTTCAGTTTCAATAAAGTAATCAAATTCTCTTACCACTCCATCTATCTTATCAAGCAAACTACTTTCTTCATTTTTAATTCTTCTTTCTCAAACATCAACTCTAAAGTATACTATTGTAGTAGAACTTTGAGGATCTGTTTTTTCTCCATAAAAAGAACCTAAAATATTCCTAACTCTTTTTCTTTTTCTTTCCAATTCATCAGCACCGAAATTTTGGGAATTTATTTCATATATGATTATCTTTTTAAAATCAGGAGGAAGACAATTTACACCAGTATTTTTATTTTTTAATCACTTTAAAAAATAAGGTAGTTGATTATCATCACAATGAACTTCTTCGAGAGAAGAAAAAGATTCAAGAGTAAAATCACCATTAAGATATTTAGGACTAATATTAAAAAAAGGCAGAGCGACTATTTTTTTTCTTAATTTACTAAGATTACTTTTAAAAGTTTCGTCTTTGCATCCTTCTTCTTTAGGATAATTAAAGTCTAATCAATTTTGAATATTTTTTATGTTTTCTTTTTTCATATTTTTACTTTAAAATATTATGAATTATGCTAAAACTTTGCCTATCATTTCCCCATTATTTCCTTTGTAATAAGAATTATTGTTGTTCTATAGAAAATATCAAATCGCCTTTTTCTTCTTTTTCGACCATTTTTTCCAATTTATTTAATTCTTCTAAAAGTTTATTCTTGGTTTAATTTAATTTTCTAAGAAATTCACAATTAGGATTCTCTTTTTTTATGATTCACTCTATTCCTTCTATAGAAAGACGTAAATGGTCAAGTAGTTGAAACTAATTTAGTTGATTCACGAATTTCACGCTAATTTCTTTTTCATCTTCTTTCATATTATTAATTTTTATGTTTGAACTTGACTTGTGAGGCTTATTAATTATATATTAATCATGCAGGAATAATAGGTTTTGAGAGTGTAATTAATGCTTACTGTTACGCTTTTTATTTTGAAAATAAAGAACAGAAACTATAATTATAATAAAACCACCAAAGATAATAAACTCTTTATTTTCTCGTCGTCCTTTATCTGAATTAAAAATACCGGAATTTAAAAAAATCTTAATG